GGCCCAGTTTTATGGCTTCTGCTTCCACTTAGCCTTCTGTAATGCTGCTGCACTTACAGGTCAGAGCTGTGCTGGAGAATCTTAGCCCATGCAAAAAGTTTCTCCTATTCCAGTTACAACAGGAAGGTTTTGTGCCTCCTTTGAACATTCTTGTCTCAAGGTTGTAGATAAGCAAGGCAGGCAGTGTGGAGTATTTGGAGATCTCGCTGTTCTGTCTTGGAGTGGCTGCTGTATTTTTGAGGATATAAAGGGGATACTGAGCCCCTGGATAATCTAAACTTGCACTTAAAATAGATTTGCTGTAAGTTACACTGTGTAGAGGGATATTACCTCCTCAAGATGTATTTGCTCCAATCACATGGGTATTGCCTTTTTATTTTTGCTAGCAAAATAAAATGAGATACTGTGTTTGTATTCCAGTGTCAGCATCAGCAAATATTAATGCATTTTGCCATTCTGCAGCATACAATAATCTGCAGAGTCAAGAGCCTGGACTAATGGATAAATGATGCTTAGTTTTCCTTCTGTATGAAGCCAGTAAATAAGTTCATTATTTTGACTTATCTGTTTTTAATTTCCGGTGAGTTATTCTGGCTCATACAGAGCCTCTGTATGAGTTGTTTATAACTCTTTATGAATGGTGCAGACAGTCTGTGAGAGCCTGGCTCTGCGCCTCTGTCTCTGGAGTGAATTGTACTGTCAGGAAAACAGGGAGCCAGCCAGAGGAGCTGCTTCCCTGCTCTGACACTCAGCTCATTATTGATTTTCCTCTGTGGTCCCACCCATGGACAAGCAATGATGGATGGACTCTCAAAAATGCAGTTGTGATGTTTGATCCAACACAGCTCTCTTTTAGGCCATTCATGATGTGCTAGACTGTATAAAATGCTGTTCTAGTACAGGGTTATATTCCTACCAACCTGAGCTCAGAGGCATCTTTGTGGGGAAGGAGAGGAAGTGAAAAATAATAGCTCATAGATAATACAGATTTCCTTGAGATAAGGCATTTAATATCTTTTTCTCTATGGCTATCTTCTAAAAACATCTGAATGCCCACCAGTTTCAGGCTTATGAGAGCTTCAGTCTTGTGTCCTAAAGTCATGAGTCCTTTAGTTTTGTCAAGAAGCTGTACTTCAGATGTACAGCTTTGTCAAGAGCCATAGTAAATCTGTCAGTCATATCTGTAGGATGATCTGAAGTTAAAGTTAGCTCTTCTCTGAACCAGGGATTAGCCCAGATGACCTCTTGAGGTGTCTTCCAGCCCACGTTACACTGTGATTATACAGCAAGGCAGGGCACTTGAAGCATGGCAGCTGCACGGTCAAATCATGCAGCAAGTGTTCAGAGAAGCTTTTAAAGGGGTGAAGGATAAGGTGCTAAAAGTGTTGTATTGGAAAGTGTGCAGCCACTGACAACAATTCCTGCCCTGAGCAGCTCTTCTGAACAAGCAGAGCAGGAACATATCCTGCCTGGAACGTCAGCATGTACCTGTGAGTTCAGGCTTTATATGAATTTGGATTGTACCAGATGACCTCATTAGGGCCATGTTCTTGCAGGTATTACTTTACAAGAGCAGTTGTGATCTGTTTATTTTGAAATTGCAGCGTGAGCAAAGAAGGGAAGAACTTCTGACACTTTGCGTCACTGTTAGAAAACAGGCACAGCCCCTCATGGTGAAAAATGAAGCTTTTTGTTTTAGGTGCCTGGCTCAAGCTTGGCCCAGGAAGTATACTCAGAGTTGAAAAGAGTTGGCAGTTTTTCTGCTGGTTTACACTTAAAGAGTTCCCAAATTAGCTGTTTGCTGAGGAGACAGAAAACATGAACTGATTTTTCACTTATGGGTCAGGCTGGGGTTACTCTCAGACATGAGCACAAATAGCTCAAAATCAGATGCTTGATATCATTTGTATATGGAGGCATTGATAAGTGGAAATATAAAATGTCTTCAATGTTTGGCAAACTAAATACAATCAGTTCTTAAAATAAAGTCTTCATCTCATGAAGTTCCTTAGTCCCACATTTATGTTATCAGACTAAGAACTAGAATAAAGGATTAAAGTGTCTTGCTGTGCTGGATGGAGTCTAGGTACAGCAGAAGACTTACAAGAAAAATCTTTTAAGTATGAAAATGAATCCTGAGTGGTGAAGGATTGCAATTGTTCTGGGAAAAACACAGGAAGCCAAACATCCCACGAGTACATTGCGACTTAACAAGCAATCCTGCAGAAGAGAGACCTGACAAGCAAATATTTATCCTCTCAAATGTGAAGTTTCCCACAACTGAAAAATGGTATTTTTAAATCCTCGAGCAAGGACTGTATATGCATTAATATAATTTCTTGTTGAGTTTCTCATAACACTTGGATACTGCTTCCTAGTTGGCTGGGTGGTTAGACTTATGACAATAAAAGCTTTCAATAAAGGAATTAAAAAATTGGCAAATGGCCTCGAATGCCTGTTGAAACATGTCTGAGCAAAACCCTGGGTTGCCTTAATATATTGGGTGCATTAGTGATTAAGAGTTCTGGTGTCCTGGAACATGCGTAAGAAGATGGGATCCAGGACTAGGTTAGCTTGGCTCAGCTCTTGCAAAATAGTGAGGTTTGAATGTTCCTGCTGCTTTTGCAGCTGTCTTTGAGCCCTGGTTTCCATGCCTCCCTGCATCCATATTACCCAGGAATCTTTCTTCCTATCAGCTTGATGTGCTTATATTTCAGAATACTGTCAGGTTTTTCCTCTGCATTTTACCCATATTTTGTCTGTTTAATGAGTTCATTTAAGATAGAGCACTGAATGTGGAGACCTGGGTGCAGTACAGCAAGGCACTACATATGGTAGTGGAGGGCTGGAACATCTTCATGAGTAGCCTTATCTTTGGGGGAGCAGTGATGCCTGGGAGCACTGTGCTATCTTTTCTGGAGACGCTGTTTTTCCTCCATTCTCTTAACAGGCTTGCTTGGCTGCATGGATATTGTGGAGACTCTCACTTTGAAATGTGTTCCAGAGTCTGCTTAAATACTTGAGTTAAAGAATATGGCTGAGAGCCCCATGGAAAGGTGATCTTTCTCATGAAAGGTTTCTGCACTTCAGAACTTAAACCCAAATATCCAAGGAGAAAGGACCACCGAGGTTGTTTCAGGCAGTCCGCTGCCTTCAAAGCCTTTCACAGATACTTCAAAAACTTCTTAAGTAAAAGATCAAAGGCTGTGTCTTCAATATAACACAAAAGAAGAAATATTTCACTTAAGGAGTCCAAGTATGCTGTTCATAAGGGTCAGATGTTTTACTGGCATGAGCTGGAGGTGGCAAGGTGATGTGGGTTTGCTCTACAACAGAACAATAAATGTGAAAACAGTGGCCTTTGCTTGATAGCTCAGACTTAAATTTGGACCTAATGAAGAGGGTACAGATTGACATGAAGATAAATGTAAATGCAGACTTTGTTTGGATCAGATGATCTTCCAGAAACATGGTATAAACTTTGAATAACTTATAGTTAAATAATATAAGTTGTAGGTAACTGCATCTCTCTCTCTCTCTTCCTTTTCAGGTGGCTATGGTGGAAGTTCAGCTTGACGCAGAACATGACTATCCTCAGGGGCTCTTGATAGCCTTCAGTGCCTGCACTACTGTGCTTGTTGCAGTTCACCTTTTTGCACTCATGATAAGTACCTGCATTCTTCCAAACATAGAGGCTGTAAGCAATGTGCATAACCTCAACTCTGTCAAAGAATCTCCTCACGAGCGCATGCACCGGCACATTGAGCTTGCGTGGGCGTTTTCCACTGTCATTGGAACTTTGCTCTTTCTTGCAGAAGTGGTGTTACTGTGCTGGGTGAAGTTCCTTCCTTTAAAGAAGAAAACGGACAACACCCCGCAGAGCAACAGTTCTACCATCACATCAGGACAGGCAGCAGCCATTGCATCGACGTCCATTATGGTGCCCTTTGGATTGATTTTCATTGTGTTTGCAGTCCACTTCTACCGGTCACTGGTGAGCCACAAAACAGACAGGCAATTTCAGGAACTCAATGAACTTGCTGAATTTGCACGGCTCCAGGATCAGCTGGATCACAGAGGTGATGCTGTCACCTCAGCTGTCACAAATTTTGCGTAAACCTGTGCTTAAGAAAATGAACCCACTATTCTGCTTCTGCCTTATGGTGACTCCCTGTGGATGAACTGGTCGAACTGCTGATTACAGTTTTAATTATAAATATTGTTCTAACCCTTTAGAGAGGGGAAAAAATGTTCCTTTCATACAAGTTTTGCTATCTGAAGGAATGGATGGTGGGGTGTGATTGCACTGCGTGTGCAGCCCTCCTCCTGTGAACACTGTCTCGCATCTTTCTCGTTAATGCTGAATGGTGGCTGTATAAATACATGGAAAATAACATTGTACATTTGGGTATTTGTTAGGAATTGATAGAGAAGTTGTGGATTTTTTTTCTCTGTTTATCTGATGTTGGCATTTACTAGAAGATACTGCTTGTCCTATCCATATTGCATGGCATGATACAAATTACTTGGGACATGCAGCAATTAGCGCTCGGTTTCAGTGCTAGCTGCTCTCCCTGGAAAGCCTGACAGATGGTAGGAGTGAAAGCTTTCCCAGCACTTTCCCCAGTATGTTTTGCTGCCAAGTAATTATTACTTTGCTGATTTCTCCAGTGCCTTTTTCCCGTGGCACTTACACATTTTGTAACTTGCTAAACATCTAGGACTAGACTCACTGCGATGTGGTGTGGCCACATGAGTAGGAATGAGACTCAACTCTTCTCTTCAGTGGAAGAAAATAAAAGCAATAACTGTTTTAAAGTTCTCATGAGCTGGCACATATTATCTGGAGAGACAGATTTGCCTGTTTCTCATTTAAGAATCATTTTTTAAAAAGAAGGAAAAGAAGGAACTAGATGGAAATTATCACTGGATAATTTTTTTTCGCTTGAAAATCAGAACCACTGCTGTTTTTTTTCCAAGCCAAAGTAGTAATTATTTTATACTTTTATATTGAAAATATGTTTTTAATAAATCCTCAGAAACAAGCAGCAAAAGGTGCTTTTTCTCTGTGTTGGATTCCCAAGTAATTAGCTATGCCTTTGTCTTCCTTGTTTAGAAAAGTGTTCTTTTTGCTGAAGTGTTGTATTTAATAACTCATTATACATTTTTTGCTTTCAATGGATCTGGAAGACAACTTTTCTTGATGTATATTTATTTGTGAAAATAGGTCATTTGTAATTAATATTGCTGCTTTCTTTCAGACACCTCTGTGACATCAAGGCTACTGTGTTGTTCATTTCCTCTAAGCAAAAACTTCCATTTGGTCTCCTACATAAGAGGTTTGTCCAAGAAGGATTCCAGCAGTTGTCCTGGGCTGGAATGGGCTATGTCTAGGAGTTGAATTTTTTGGAACACAGTTCTTCTATAGAGGAGCTTTGGGCTTTAATGGGCAAAAGCTGTTTTTGAACACAAACTGAGACAAGTTTCAAGCCAAAGGGAAAAAAAAACCAAACAACTACCTATCACTAGTTGTAGCTATCACTGTGGAATAGAAACCTGGGATTTTGCCATGAGACAGGAGGGACTGTGACAGTCCAGTGGAGCTGTGCCTGACAGCCTGGGCTGAACGTGGTCTCTCACACCAACCTCCATCTCAGGTTATCCCAACGTACTTGCAATCTGTACAAAGTGCCTGTGCAGTTCAGGTGCAGAGTGTGGTTACTGCTGAAGCAGATGGGAGCTGATCTCTCCTGTCAGCAGCACTGCGCTGCAAAGCATTGACAAGGTCACCCGTGGTGCCTTTGTATTCTAAAAACATAACTATTAAAAAAACAACCTGCTGGGCTGTTTGCTTTTTCAGCAGCAGTCGTGGTTCACAAGCAGCAAACAGCTTTCCACTTGGTGTTTTCATGAGTTCTGGCATACAGAGGCCAAACTGGATTTTCTCAGCTCTGCCATTACATGCTTCAAATATATTTCTATTCCTGATGTAAATCTGATGGTGTGGATTTTGTAACTACAGAATCACAGGTGTTTGTTCATGGAGCACTGGAAACATTGCTTTAGTAAAGGCAATAAGGAAGCAGCATTCCAAAACACAAAATCTAGGTAGTAGACACAAAATGTATTTTCCCATCCAAGACTGAACTTTACCAGTTTTGTCTTGGGGAAACAGGCCCCTAAAATTCCCCACTAAAGGAAGAAAACCTGACTTGGTATTCACACTAGAGCAACTGTTTGGAAGAGTGTGGTCAGGTGTAAAAATTTTACTTCTGTCTGTAAATTTTGTATTTAGAAGTTACATGGTTCTGAATGTAAGTTCAAAAAATCAGTTTTCCAAGTTTATTTTGTAAAATTCCTTGCTGTTCTGCATAGGAAGCTGAATTTCTCATTGATTTGTGGATCTTCTACAAAGTGACTGAGAAGTATGGGGTTTTCTTGTTGTTTAAGACATACAGAATTAGAAGCTAGTGGGACATGGTTATTTTTAGTTTTCTCAAGCTGGTAGGCTCTGAGCTAATGGCACTGTTATTACAGCTAATTTTCTGAATATTTTCTGCACTTTAAGCCGTGATATCAAGTATGTTTTTGTCATTTTCCACCTGTGGAAATGGTCATGAAAGTTACACCTTGGGTACCTTTATCACTGTGTACTCAGGCAGTAACCAGACACAAACACATGGATCTAAACATTGAGTGCACTTAAAATTTTTTATCCCTTATTTATACTAACGGTGTTAGGCATTTACCTCAATCATTTTAAACATTGGTTATTGTATATCACTTACTTGGGTATAAAATACTTTAATGAAATAAAATATACTCAATTGTTGTGGATTATTTGTTATCTAGAGGCCTAAACTGTACTTGTTAACTAAAACATGATCTGTTGTAACTTCAAAAGCCATTTTTTTGTCACAGCTATGTATTGGGCTGTGTTTGGGGAAAGTGGAGGACACAATTACTTGATTTTAAAACATACTAGAAACCTTCCTTCTCTAAAGGAAAGGTCTTGAAACCAACAGGAGTGTGATTTCTTAGCAGGAAGAATAAGAGGAGCTGAGCAAAGAGTCACTCTGCCTGTCTTCCAGTGTTTTGGTGTTTTGGGTTTTTTCCCATTCATTTTTTTACTTTTCCAAAATAATGGGGGTGGGAGGAGGTTACTGAGCAAAGCCACCTGCAGAGGGAAGTATACCTGAAGAGCCTTGAGGGAAAGGTGAAGCAAACCATGACACGATAACCACAGTGTGGGTTTGAGTCTCGAAGGAATAAATAACTCAGGATCGTGTTATTTACTTTTTTCCTTCAGCATCTGGTTATTAATTATGGCTGTCATCAAACATTGCCCGAGCCTCTGCTGAAACACCAGCTGGGTCACGTAGTTCAATCTAAATAAAAAGAATACAAATCAGTTATGCAGTGTAATTGAAGAAACTTAAGGTTTTATAGATCTTGATTACTGGAGCATTATTGGAGAGTCTCCCACAGATCAGGATTTCAGCTCATATTGCAGCCTTTCAATTATTGTTTTAGAAACAACTACACTCCCCTAATTTTATTAGTGTGAACATCACTTTATCTCCTTGAAATAGCTCTGTGTGAGTGACTTTAACAAAACACTGTTTGGCAAAAGCTAAGCCACTTTTTTAGCCTGTTGGGCCTCACCTGTAGTTTTAATAAAGGGGGTAGTGGTGACAGGAGTTTTATCAAAACCTGAAATCAGTTTTTCTCCCTTTCTCTATTACTTCATATTCTGAGATCAACTGATCTCAATCCTTTCAAAGCACAGTAACAACAGTGAAAGCTGATGCTTTGTTTTTGCTTATAGAGCAGAAGAGAATTGGATCATCAACTGATCTTCAGGGAGTTAAATAAACAGCCAGACTTGCACATCCTGCCTTAGCATACCAGCAGTTCATCCCAGGCTGTTGGATTGTTGAGGCTCTTCTCAGTGACCTTTGACAAACCACATATAGTAAATAGTTTTAGCTACAGAAGTGCTACTCCTTTCACTCCTTTCTGCAAAATAGAGATTGTTTTTCTCTGGTGGGTATTTGGGGCTTATTATTTTGCACTGCCATGGGTGTGCCTGGTAGTTACGAGACTAAGTGACTCTTCAGAAATTCTGCTTGAATGGCCTTTGGCTATGGAAACCAAATTTGAAAATATAGGGGCAATGAAGGTGTAATAGCAGTGAGTTTTAGAAGGCTGCATGTGCCTGGTGTCACTTTGAACAGCCCTGTCCCTGGGCCAGAGGAAGGTGGGTGGCTTTACCTGCCATGGGGCCGCGCTATTCCCTGTGTTACTGGAGCAAAGTGGTGAGCTGTGGTTATCCAGGGTGGTTCTGCTTGGCTTTAGGGGAAGAAGAGCTTCCCCAGCCCATCCTGCACTGACCATTTTGTTCCACAGCTGTGGTTTGCGGACCTTGAGGGCTCAAGCTAAGACTCTGAAGGCCAGCTCTCACTTGGAGTCACATCTGTTCACTGCTGATTTCCATTTCCTCTTCCTCCACGGGCATGGAGCTGGGGACAGGCTCTCCTGTCCTCCAGGTCCTACACCAAAGTGATGTGCAAGGACCCGGTGGCTGCCAGGCTGATGGCCCAGTGCATCTTTGTGTCTCACCATATCTTTGGGATGGGGATAGGGCCTGGCTTTTCCTCTGCAGTGTGTGTCAGTCAAGGGAAAAGAGGAGCAGAGGATGTGGGCTCTAGGACACCATCTGCCCCCCTTGGGCCCAGGTGGGAAACTGCACATCCCCCTCTGCCCCCAAGGCTGCTGGGCACGGTGCTGAGCTCCTGACTTGGAGGAAAGAGCTGCTGTTGGCCCTGCAGCTGCTCAGGTTCCTGCAGGGTCTGCTCAGCCTCAGCAGTTGGGCTTGGTGAAATCATTTGGTCTTGACGCAAATCCCACTATTGTCTCTGCCTCTATTGTCCCCATTTCCTCTGTGCTGCATCAGGTCTCTGAGCAGTTCTGGTGCATGAGAACTGCATTTTTTCAGATGTAGGCAATTGGGAGGCTCCAGCAGAGGCTGCATGAGCTGTTAGTCCCTATGGGGCCATTTAGGCTGCTGCTGGCCAAAAGACTCTGAGCACACACCCCATGGGGGAAATCTCTTGAGGAGTGAAATGTTACCTGGAGAGATGACCCGAGCACTGATGAATGCAAACACCCAAATTTCCAAGCAATTACCTCTGGGAGTGGAAACTCTGTAGGGGCTGGAGCATTGTCTCTGCCAAAGTCAACCAGAACTCCACACTTTGGTATATCTGCTACCCAGATGCCTTCTAACAGCTGTCCCTTATCTGGGTAGAAGTATTTCCCTGGGCCATGCTTCTTGCCATCTTTCCAACTTCCTTCGTACCGATTTCCATTTGCTGCAATTAAATATGTGAACAGATCTTGAAACTTGCACCATTTTGTTTAGGGGCTACAATTGAAATCAATCAAGAGAGCAAACCAGCAGAGAAGAAGGTCATGTGTTTGGCTCCTCTTACTAATTTCAAAGTGGCTGTGGCACTGTGTGTCATTTTGATTTTGCAGTGCTACATTTGCTGTGCCACAGAGGGAGAAAATTCTGCAAAGGAGTCCACGCTTGCTCACTTGGAACCAGGACTGTGCTCACCTGCTTTGTTCTCACAGTGATACTCTTTGCTGACACAAGGAGCTAGTGTGGTCAGGGTAAGGGACCTGGTCCTGAGTCACTCTTCACAACATAAAAAATTACAGGATACAAGTTTCAGATTTGTCACTGCAACAAATCATGCAGGATCTCTGGCTTGAAGAGGTTTGCTTGTCTGGGCAAGGAACAAGAGCACTGATTGCTGTCCAATCAAAATAATCTTGATTTCAAAGAATACTTTTAGTTAAGTTTTTCCTGAATGAATTACGGGGTGAGAATTGTTGCAGAAGTCTGAAGAGTTTAGGCAGTCAGTTACAGGCTGTTTTTCCAGCTGTACTGCTTCTCTTGGCATTTTTCTGCAAGTTGAGAGAGGCTTTTTTTGGACTCTCTGCTGCTCTCCAGGAATTCACCCATCCATCACTAACAGGGAAAGCAGAGCTGCAATGGGAAGAGAGCAGCCTCATCCGTGGATGCTGGTTGAGAAGGGGCATCATATCCATGGTGGTGCTGGGGCTGGGATAGATCCAGACCACCCTGTTGTCACTAGGAGAGTCCTCTGCTCACCCCTTTTCCTACATACAGTGTTTCTGAACCCAAACCCATTGGGATTTCTGACCATGTTAGTGAAAATACCTTTGAGTCCCAGCAGCATTCTGCCATTCTTCATCACAAGAAATGGCTGAAATACCAGGGCACCCCACAGGGTGCTGCAGAGATAGCTGGGACCTGCCAGTAAAGGAAGAGGAGGAAACCAAAAACTCTTCGGGAGGATGTGGGTCTAATTTACAGGCTGGAGCTTTGGTGATGGTTATCTACAACTCTGATCTGGTTTTGTGCTTATCTGCAACACCAAGCTGCCCTGCCCACAGGTGGGAGCAGCTCGGCTTCTGCACTCCAGCCACCAACAAGTGAGAAAGCACCAAAATCACAGCCCTGGCTGCAAGGAGGGGGCAGTGAACACCCTGACTGCACTGTGGTGCCCAGCTGCTCCCATCTGCTCTCCTCCCAGAGCACCCGAGGCTGTGTTGCTCACAACCATGATCCCTGTGGATGTGAAGTGCTGTGGTACAAAGCTGTTGGGGAATGGATGTAGCAGAGGCGGCAGATCAGCACGGTGCTCTCAGCCAAGCTCACCCTCACTGGGCACACTGCCACTACAAGCAATTTAATCTTGAGCTGCAGCTCATCGTGACCTCCACTGAAGAACTCCTTTTCTTTCACATGGCAAAGCTGCTGGCACGTGGGCGCACTTCCAGCAGCTGAGCTGAACGCATTAAGCTTGTGGGTATGAAATAATTGCTCTGGCTAATTTTAACCAAAAGGAATCCAGCTAACAATCAGTTGCAGGCTAGGCTGGAGGCAAGTGGGCTCTGAAATGGTGCATCAGCCACGGCTCAGCCTGCGGGGGCTGTTAGTTTATAACTAACAGGGCCTTTGACAGGAGCATGGCAGATCAGTGCAAGAATCCCCTGGAAGCAGGTGCTGATTTCATCCAGATGAGCCATCGGTCCAAAGCAACTTTACAGTCAGCAGAGAGAGCACAGTCATGCATGTGGTGTACAGAGAAGGTCATGCTCATTCCTCCCAGCTGCTTTGCTTAGCTAATTACTAGCCTTGAGATCACTTTCAAGCAAAAAAAGAGATAGAATAGATGAATAATAATATGGTGATAATATTTATTCAGATGTTCTTGGAATGCCATGCCTAGTATTGCAGAGATTCTTGGGATTCTTGGCTTCAGGGGAAAATGTGTTAAACTCCAAGGAAAATAAAGGGGAAAAATTTAAATTTCTGTCTTTATGCTGAGATTGGCCATAACATTCCCAATCCATGATGTGCTCGATGTTATTTATGGAAAAAGATTGTGTACTAATGAAACCCCTGTGTTCACTCAATATGAGCCACTGTCGGAAGCAGACAGAGAGGATGGAGTGAACTCAAAAAGAAAACTATGTTGTTTTTTTTTTTTTTTCCTGTTCTGGAAACTGGACTCTTCTTTGGTATGCAGAGCTAGAAAGCCTGTCTGGCAAAGTGCCTGGCTTGAAAAGAGAGATTTGCTCTTCCCTGACCCAACAGTATATTATCTCTAACCCGAACCAACCCAGTCATTTAAATGTAAATCACAGCAAAAGTAAGCTTTCATGCGTGTGGGCTTACGGGCTTGAGCAGTGCAGTGCCGGCCCTTGCGCAGCCTGTGCTGCCTCCTGCTGCAGACCAGGAGGGCAGGGATGACACGGAGCGGCCGCAGTCCTGCTGCAAGGCTGCAGTGTAGCACCCAGAAATGTGGATGGCAGAGACACCCGGAGAGCAGCACGACGCCAAACAGCTTGAAGGGGACAGGGTGAGGTTGGTGGGTACTTACGGAGCCGCAGCACGCCCTGCCCGTTGGGCTGATCCATCAGCCACTGTCCCTCGTAGATGGAGCCATCGCTGTAGTGCATCTTTCCCCAGCCGCTCCGCAAACCATTGCTCCACTCGCCCTCGTAGCGCTCCCCGTTGGGGTAAGAGAACATCCCCCGGCCCTGGAGAGCAGCACAGAGATGGCTGGTTAGGAGCTGCTCTACTGAAAGGGGACAGTGTTCAATTTTAGGACATCACTTTGATAGAATATTCCATTGTTTATTACTCTTACACATGGCTGCTGGCAGCCCAGCTCTGTGGCTGTTCTCACACTGAAGGAAATGAGATGTGGTAGTATGGAACTTTTTTTGCAGTTTTATTCCCGTGACAAAACCTTGGGTTTATATCTCAGTGTGTTATTATTGGCATGATTGCTGCTAATATTTAGCTAAAAGCGGGTTTTACAAGTATATAAACCTGCCTGAGGATAGGCAGCATTAAAGGATGTGTCTCTCAACACAGGGATTTCGTGTCTTTCAACCCTGACGATGTTTCCAGCTCAGTGTGTCCCAGGCTGGCCAGCTCCACCCTTTGTTTGTTTTACATGTATGTTTGCCATAAGAGAAGTCCAGAGGTACCTCCTATGCCAGAGAGTGATACCAATAAGAAATATTTCCATATCACTAACACATTTCCCCATAGGAATAAAGTGTTCTTTTTTTATTCTGAACAAATAATAAAACCACTTCTGGAAACAACTAATTTTTCTGAGTATTAATTTTATTAAACTGCATGGATGTAAGGGAGAAGCTTCTTTAGAAGAAAACCCAACCCTAGTGATGTTATTATAAATCTTTCACCAAAGCTCAATTATGCAAAATCTAACCTTAAAGAACTGGAAGGGAAGCTCCCTCTAACAGACAGGAGCCATGGAGCCACACGCTCATTAAAAGCGTTGGTGGAGATGAGTTTAATTTAAGAGCAGACACAAAGACAAACACAAGGTTTCCATTGGCAGATCCAGAAACGTTCCTACAAGGATTTGCACATTACATTGCAGTCTACAAGATGACTTTCTTATTATATTCCTTTTAGGAAAAATAGTGATTTATGTGACAGGCTTAATTTCCAAAAGAACTCAAATTATTTGCCTATCATGCTGTAAAACTCCTAGAAGAAGGTGCATTTTCTGGCAGTGCTTATAATACTGGTTCCTCTGACTTGTTCAAGAACAAGAGGAATGAAAGGGATGGGTGGGGAGCATTAAGAGACAGGATGTGAAACCTCCCATCGTCCTTGGCTGAGCTGCAGGTGAGTCTGAGCAGTAACCACTGCTCTGTTGCAGTCAGTGGGAGCTCTGGGCTGTAGCCTGGTAACCAGCAGATGGGTGGGGATGACTCCCTCTCCAGGAAGGAGACAGCACTCCCAAAAAAATCTTGGATTTTTAGTCTTAACCATTCAATTCAGCCTCAGTATTGCAAAAAATAATACTTTCAGTAATCTTTTCGCACGTGTGCACCCAACTCTTCCCTGTGTTTTGGGTCCCACTGCCTCACTGCTGGCAGAAAATCTCACTTACACCTCTTCGGTCATTTTCCCACCAGCCTGTGTACACCTTCTTGTATTCTTTGGTCACTGGGTCAAGAATGCTGTATGAGCCATAACCATCCCGCTTCCCAGACTTCCAGTCTCCGCTGTAAATAGCTCCTGTGCTTTTCCAAATTTGTGTGCCTTTACCTGTTTAACAAACAAGAGGAATGACAGGGACACCATCATGGTTAGGAGAAGGGTGCACAGGACTGCCTTTCCTGCTCCATCCCAGGCAGGGCAGCACTCCCTGCACAAAGTCAGGCTTATGTCTGGGATTCAGTTTAGCTTCCCAAGTTGGAACCATCGTTAATCTTGATCAGGGACTTCCTGTGTGGTCTCTGCTGAATGCACTGAAATCTTTCCAAACCTAAGTTTACTGCTTGTAAACAAGTCTGTCCTGCTCCGGCTGCTCCTGGCTCAGACAGGGTCTCCTTCTCCCGCTCTGTCCCCTGCAGCCCCTGTCACATCTTGGGAATAAATTAAGATTCCTGGAGCCAAGTCAGGAGCTGAGAGAGCTACATGGACTGTGCAGCCAGGACACATCCCAGTGCATGGAGCTGACTGCAGTTTGCTGCATTTGGAAAGGATTTTTAGACATCTGTAATAGAGATATTTTGGGTAATTGCCCCTAAGTGCATGCAAAAGCTCTTCAAGTTACCTATTAGAAGCGTTTCTGCATTTTTGCATTACATATATCAAATATATGTTTGTGTGTGTGTACATATAGTCAAACATGAATGAATGTTCTTCCAGGAGCATATAGAGCACACAGAACCACTGACCACTTCCTGCCCCCAGGAACCTTTGAAAAGACATCTAAGTTGCTATTTTTTCTCAAAATTATCTATCTTACCATGTTTCAAGTTGTCCAGCCATTCTCCAGTATACTGGTCCCCATTTACAAAATAAATTGTGTGTCTTAATCCACATTTCTGGGCTTTCCTGTCCCATTCATAAAAGAGAGGGTCTCTAATCCTGGGGTACTTTATAACGGGCATATTGTCGGTACCTGAAGAAGAAAAGAAATTATTATCAGCAATAGATTAGAAATTACTAAGGCAAGTACAGGCAGAACAATATTTGTGAGCCATGCACAGAGACACAACAAACAGGAGGCAACTAAAGATACTGAAGTACAAACCAGCATTATGTGAAAATGGGTTCATAGCATAGCCCAGCCTGCTAAGAAATATTAAACAAATCTCAGCAGGTCTGGTTTGTGGTGGGCATTGATCTCTGCACCTGCCAGAGATCTTGGGGAGTGCAGGGAAAGGCATCTCCTCCATACAGCTGATGGAATGGGAGTTGTCCAGCATCCCTGAGTCCCACCTGGAGCTGGGACACTTCATACTCCCAGCAGTAATGCAGCTCAGGCTCCTTTCCTGCTAAAAATATCAGTCCTCCAGCTGCCTTCTTAAAAGGGGTTGAAACCACAACATTTCCCTCTCCCAGGAGGCTGTCGACTTGCCCAGGGCAGGCCAAGTGCTTGCCTGGAGTGGTCTCCTATAAACCATAAACAAAAGCCAAAAGGTGGCTGTAGAAACAAAAGCAAATTTCTATGAAATCCGTTAGCATCCAGAGCCTGGCTGGAGCCCGGCGGGGTGGGATGCTCCGATTTTGTCTCCTGGGCTCCCCCTTCTGTCCTGATCTGCGGGAATGAGTCATTTAGAATGATTCTGCTGCTGTCTTTCCCTTCTCGGCAGAGCAAAGCTCTGGTTCCTGCTGTGCTGTGGGTGCCGGGGAGCCCGGCAGGGGAGAAAACCTGGACTTTGTAAGGAGAGGGGAAAAGAAAGGTGCTTTTAGGTCCTTGCTAGGAAATAAAAGCTAGAAATTCTAACTAAGAAAATACCGTTAGAGTTCAACCTCAGTTCTGCATTTTCCAGCTTTGGGAAATGGTCATTCAAGAGGAAGGACAGCATTGCTAAATGAAAGTACTTATGTATCCAGAAATGAGTCTTGGTTAGAGAACACGGAGGACAGGATCTGTCCCTCGGTATAATGGAGTCACAGCCCACCACAGAGGATGTTTTTCCAGCAATGCAAACACAGGATACATTACAACTGCTGAGTTCCTCCCTCACTTTTGAGTGCTGCAGCTCCTGGAGAATGAGGTTCTTCCCAATATTTGCCAAGGGCTGGGTTTTTTTCAGGACACTGTGCCCCACTTTGCTGGCTTGAGCCTGCCCTGCCCTTGCTGAGGAAGCAGAAGAGCCGAGCTACAGCATCTTGTACCCGTCCTGACACTGGCCATGACCTCTGAGCAGCTCATGCCTGTGACAAGAAGTCTCTTCACTAACCCTGCCAGATGGGACCATCGCTTTCCCACCACCACATCCCACCACTTCTTTAACTCAAAGCTTAGGATTTACAAACCCCAGGGAGGATTCCCAGCTGCGGGGGCAGCCCCATCTGCTCGCCATATCCTGCGAGGCACAGCCCGCGCAGAGTACCCGAGGTAATGCGGGCTGGAGGGAGCCACCTCTATTTGCTGAATCCCCTTCTAAATTTACGTCAGTCATGCCAGGTTTGCGTAAGTGATAACGCAGTCGGTATTCACCTCCCTGGATGTTTTTAGCCGCCCACTACCAGGGCGCGGGGAGGCTGGCAGCGAGAGGCAGGCGGTGCAGAGTCGTTCTGGTTGCAGCTCTCGGTGCGGAAGGCGAGACGCCGCTGCTCCCGTGCGCCTCTGCCGAGGCGCTTGGGGATGAGGCCCGTACAGACCCCCGCCACCCCCTCCAGACGCTGAAATGCGACTTTTGTCTGGTCTCTGGTAAAACGAAGCTTTAGTCTGCACGGCCCTGCAGGAAACCCATTTTTTTTCCCCTGGCTCTTTGAGGAACTTCAGAGCAATATGGTGTGGCTACTTTTTCCATCTTACATCTTCATGAAGAGCAAGGAGGGAAACACACCTGGCTGCAGAGAAGCGGCTGCTGGCCGTCCCTGGCAGAACCCGGCCTGGCACCGCACACCCGTGCACCCTGCCTGACAGTCCCCCGGCCCCGAGAATGCCCCGGCTGAGCTCAGCCCTTGCCGTGACCCAGCATCACGGCAGTGCCCTGCAGAGGGGTCCCTTTGCCAGCACCCACCGGCGGAGCGGAGTCACCTCCCGGCCCCCAGGGCGCTGTCTGCGAGCGGAATGCTCAGAGCGCCTGTTGCTGCTCCTCCCCGGCCGGGCAGCAGGACAGCAGGACAGCGGAGCGACAGGGAAAAGCCACGATCTCGGTTTGCAGAGCAGCCGGAGTGTGGCCGCCGCTCTGCCGCCGTCCCCGATGCCGAGGGCCGAACTGCGGACACCGACCTGCGCTGGTGGCGGCCCGGTGCCGCCTGCGGCGGCGGGGTCGCCATAGCAACGTGCCAAACTCCAGCGCTAAGGGCCGCGGCAGCGGCTCCGGGCGGACGGGGATGTGCCGGGACACGGCATCGCACGCTCGTCCCCTCGCTGAGCAGGGGGGATGGAGCCCGAGCCACCGGGCACACACAGCGCTGGGCAGCTCCGTGCCCGGAGCTCGGCATCTTCCAGCAGAATATAAAGTGCTAAGAAGCAACGAGTGTTTCACCTCTGGTTGGTTTTTTATACCCCCAGCAGCAGAAGGCTGGAAATGAAAGCAGTGATTACAGCAGTGATGAGTAACAAATAAATCAGCCTCGCAAATGTCGGGAGAAATAGGAGAAAGCTCCTGAAAATGCACATCAGCGGTTTTAAAGGAGAAATCTGAATAAATCTGGCATTAATTCCCTCATCCATGACATTTCTTCCACACCCATGGTGAGCAGGGATTGCCACTCTGGCATTATGGGTGTCTGTAATCATCTTCCCTAATGGATAATTGACTGTGCACATTTCCAGTATCACACCAAAGCTCTTGTATGACTCCCATGAGCCAAATGCATTTGGTTCTCATCCTTTTACCATATTTTTGTACACAACTCTGCAGGCTGTATGGTAAAAATGTTGAGGCAGGTGGGAAATCCTGTGATGAAATAAAGCAGCTGACTCTGTAAAGATGAGATACAGCTCAGACTTCCCTGAAGGGTGTTCCTTTGCCATCTTTGATATCTGTGGCATTGAACGTGGTTTAAATGCTGTGTCCATGCTTGGATAGGACAGAGAATGGATTTATTCCAAGCGTGAGTGTGACTAAAGGCAAATATTGTGTTTCCCATGGCATGTGTGAGGGCCATGGAGCCAAAGGAGACAATGCCACTGCCCGGGAAATCAGGTGTAGGAAAATGAAGTGGAGGGAAGGAAGAGGTGCTCCAGAGACAACATGAGCTGGTGTGGAAATGACAGAGGGAGATCTGTACCAAGGGAAAATACACACGTGGAATTTCTTGTGTTAGATTAGATGAATTGGGAAGATGGCAGCTGCTAGGAAGCATTTCCAGAGATGTAGGAGAAGCAGAACTTAAAGACTTCTTTAAGCAGGGAAAAAAAAAAAAAGAGAGACAAAACCATGGAAGCTGACCAAGTTAGGAAATACTTATACAAGAGAAAATGTCTCCTGCTATTAAAAATGAGATGAAGATATTCAGGAAAGATTTATTCACAGTCACTCATGTTAATGCATTCTGGTTTGGGGCAGAGCCTAAGAATTACTGAAGACAATCATCCCTGTGTTTCACATGGCCAGTTGTAAGGGCTGGAGTGAGGACAGAGGTTTGGGGAGGAAATAAAGAAACCCTTGAGAGAGAAGAAAAAATGCTTATTGCAGCCCAAAATCTAGAGCCTGAAATTACAACCAGAAATAGCCCTCTCTGGAAAAATATTAACTATTTTTATTATTTCAGCCCCTATATTGCACTGCACTTAACTGAGAGATTTGCAATTAAAATAATTAGCTAATTTAGACCATTTTACTTGTTTATTTTTAAAGGGCACAGGCTGCCTGAGGTTTTTGAGCTTCAAGTCCAAACTATGTCACACCTAACCACAGCTTCTGCTAACCAGAAGTTAAACACATTTAAAAATTAATATACATTTGAAAACAATAAAAACTTCTGAAGAGTTAAAATATTTTAGCAACAAATTAAAATTCACAAACTGGGATCAAAAACTGCCTCTGCAAAAACACCTGTATCTGGATATGACAGAAGGTGCTGCCTCCATTTCTGGGTTGCTTATTTTAAATTCTTCTGCTCCTGGTCTCTGTGTGTTTGTTATTTTACTTGAGTGGTCCCAGAGTGGGTTATCAGCACCCTCACAGACCCTCCTGCCCCCTCCAAAGAGACTTCACAGAGACATTTATCTAGGAAGAGGCTGTGTGTGATTCCCATCTACAGCTTTCTTACTTCAGATATAAACATTTGAATCATACTTAATTATTTTGTCACTTGATAATATCGTTCTGTAGCTTTTTGTATTACAAGGGTACAGAGTGGGAAAATGTAAGCATATTCTTCTTACAAAGAAAGACAAAATTAGACCATCTTGAAGAGAAGGTGGTGATATTTGAAGTTTTATCAGAAAGTTCTTTTGACTCACTCAAACGAAATTTTACTTTGAAAATGTCATTCCATTTTGAGAGAAGGAACCCCCTTAGCAAGTAGGAAGTGGGGATAATTTTTGTAAAGGGTGTCAGATATATCTAGAGTATATAACTCAGTCAAGGAGTGAGATATAAACTCAAACTGACCCAGAAATGTCCTAACAAAACTCTCTTCCTCCCCCAAGAGCAGCTGTTCCCAGGCACAGCACTGGGGCCACTATGAAAAGTAGGGTCAAAAACTGAAGTTACAATGTGCTAGGAGGAGAATTTGGGTTTTCCTTGACACAATTCCCCTTGTTTCAGCCTTGCCAGACAAAATTTGGCCCCAGATACCCCTCTTGGCTCTTTTGGTTTCTTTTTCTTGTTTCACTCTGACAGGCATTGGCCACTGACACCAAGGAACAACAGCAAAACCTTCACCAGGCAGTCCCAGGGCTTCAGTTCTGCTGCTGTTTGTACTATTGCTACTTTAGTTGTCTGGCAGTTGATTAAACCTTAAATTTATTAAGACT